GGATTATAAATCAGTTAATATACAACACAAACAGATAGTTTAGAATAGTCCATTTTACAGTTGTGTGCTTGGTTGCCAAGCCTTTGAATGGGAGTGAGGCTAGGGATGACCTTGTTATGATACAAACCTTGCTGCCTTTCAAATGTAAATCACTTTGTTATCATGCTAACTAGATACAGGTCTCTATCACAACAAGGTCATCGTTAGCCTCACTCTGAATCAAAGGCTTGGCAACTAAGTACACAACTGTAAAATGGCCCATTCAGGCACCGGACCCACTCCCAATAAAAGTACTTAGGCATTGAATTGGGCACTGATATATCAGGTACCCAGTGTCTGAACACAGCACCATTTTGTGCTGGTGCCCAGGCACTAATGCTGAACAGCCTAGGATATGCCTAGGATATGCATTATGTGAAAAGTGTTTAAGGTGCATGCGAGGGAACAAGGATTAAATTTTTATTTAGTAGGATTATAATTTCATTAACCTTTATAATCAGCAGTTTGCTGTTTTGAAATCATTAGTTTAAATCAGAAACCTAAAATGCATGAGAAAGTAATAGTTTCAGTGTGAGAGTGTGAGGTTGAATTTGTTTGCGTGAGACTTAAGAGCTCTGCATACTGTTTTAATGTCAGTTTGGTAACTTAACATTGCTACAGTACACTTTGTTAAGACAACTAAATTTCAACATTGAAATTGCCTACTCATTCATAAATGTGAAAGTATAAGGTATTTTCATTATAAAAATAGTAGTTATATGTATTAAAATATACACATCTATGTATCAGATTTATAAAACAATAGCCTTGTTTTGGTGCAAAAATATGCTTGGATATTTGTCTGCGGTGAAAATTTGTTCCAAGATGCAAACAGCATTTTGAAAGCAAAGCTTGAGGAAAGCTTTGAGATTACAAGAACAAATAATGTCTACAGACCAATATATGAGCATATTTTTGTGCTAAATGAAGGTTATTGTGTTTATCCTCTTTCAAATATTTTTTCAACATGCAGGAAAAAATGTTTACGAACAGCTTACCATTTACTGTGTTAGATTTTCACTTTACAGTGTTCTATGGTACGACTTTGTGAATATATATGTCCCTTCTTCTATAACAACCAAAAAACACTTTCATTTTATATTAAATTTTGCAGGAAGACTTATTAAATTTGACATAAGGGTTAAAAGTAGGAAATATCAGTCAGGATTTATTCTCTGAAATTCCCAAGTTCTAGCTGGGGCATATACTGTTGTGATACATTTTGACCAATAGTGCATGTGCAAAAATATATGATGGATTATAATAAAATAATCTGTTTAGAAAGATAAAATAAAATTCAGTACAGACATCAGAATTTGTGGTGTATGTATGGGGGAAGGGAAAGGGTGTTTGGGGAGGGGGATGTTAAAGAAATATTTCATAACTGACTTGTANTGACAACAGTGTGTGAATAATCCAGGGCCAGAAAGGGGGTGTTTAGGGCAGGGGGGTTTAAGGAGGGGTGTGTTTAGGGGGTGGGATGTTTGCGGAAGATGAAAACCAGAGGAAAACCACTAGAGTAAAAATGTGACACCATTATGGGAATTTTAAAGGGCCACAGGAGGTAAATGTTCTCACATTTATGAAAAGATGCAGTGATATTCATGTTGTTATTGAAATCAGTATGATTCAATCAAGAAAGAATTTTATTACACGACGTTGCACCACATGAAGTTAAACATTGCTGCCTACGTGGGCAAAACTCAAATAGAATAAAGATAACTTCACCGTGATTCAATAATCAATATTGCCTTTCCTAGGCACCAACACATCCACATTCTAAACCTCTTCCCTTCAGCAAGTAATAGGTATGGAAGTCCTCTCTTTCAATTTGATTACAAACATGGAACTCTACGGACACATCATCCTGCATCATATTACATGAATCTAACAAGAGAAGTAAATGCTGCCTAGAGCAAACCCACAGTAAAAAAAAAAATGTGGCTACCAAACTGTTACAAAATTTAAGGCTATTGACATTACAGTACAAATGACTTATAACAAAACAGTGATAGCTTACTTTAAGGTAGCAATTCTCCAATCACAAACCTTAAATTAAAACAACAACTCTATCAACATTCCAATGTTAATCCAACTTGATTAAGCAATAGACTGCACTTTCTATCAGTTTGCAAGTGTAATAACCCCCTTGGGATGTTGGGAAAATACTCAAAAATGTTGGAAAGTTTATGTTAGTGCAGCACTTCCATTCATGTTCCCAATTACATTTTATGTGTTTTGCATGCGCATTTTTCTTATTGTTGATCGCATTCTTTCACTCATGGGGATTTATGTACCATTAGGTTTTTTCATATAATTTGCTTTGCTTAATTTCATTTTGTATAAGCTTCTTGGTAAAATTCAGCACTAGAGTATCAGAGTCCATTAGGTTAACATCGATTCCTTCACTGCCACTAACTCTTAGTTTTTTTCTGTTCTTTGTGTCCACAAAATCATACAACATTTAAAAAATTCAACATTTCTAAGTGTCTTTCCTTGTTAGACTGCTTTTTCCCTGCTGTTTACATTTCTATTCCTTCTACTTGTATTTTGCAATAACTAGTAATTATTCTTTTCCTTTCACAACCGTGACTGATCATTATGCAAATAAATTTTAAAGTGCATGTTGAAACCTGACTTGTCCCCATTTACAGTTTACAATTTTTCTTCATGTTCTCCCAACATCCTACATGGGCTACTAGGCCAGTAAACTGACTGAAAGTCCGGTCTAATGCTTTTAGAACTAACTGTGGGTTTGCCTGTGCAATTAACAATAGGTTTTGGACCAATCAGAGTGCTTGTTGTATCTCAGTTGTTTTATAAATAACTATACTCTAAGCCACTATCAATATATTGTGACATTACAGTGCATACTAAAATTCCTTGAATTACAATTACAACTGATTGTACCTCACTGTACAAAAACAATTGTTCCTAAGTGACTATATGGACCTCCACTTATTTGTATTTCTTAGAGTCTGGTTTTACAATAAAAGGATTTGTTTCTGGTAATGTAAGTTCAGTGTACATTTTCACACTCTTTCAGGCAGACTCAAAGTCAAAAAATAGAAAAGTAATTAACTAAGGGATCCCTTAACCCTTTACACCCTAACATCAGTATGCATATTCTCCATACTGTTCTCTATACATTTCCTAAGGTGCTGACAAGGAAAATTTGTTTACCAATCAAGAACTTCCTTAGTTGGTGATCATTTCCACTATTATTGTTACCTTAATGTGATTCAGGAGTGATACCGAAAGGAAAAATTAGATATCAGAACACCTCCTGGCTTTATTTCCTTCTGTGATTTTTTTTTACCCAAAATAAGGGGGACCCAGGCCTCCCCGGGCCCCTCCCTTAGTTCTGCCACTGGTCAGCATCACTGTCTGGTCATTTAGATTCCACTGTGCACTGTAATTTACAAAGAAATCCAAGCTGAAGCAAAAAATTCAGTTCCCCTGCATTCACTCACTTTTGTCTTTTATATTCGCTATTCAGCAGCTGAGAAACGTTCATCCATCGGTGAAGCTTGTATTTAAGGTTGTTAACAAGCTACCTCTTGTCCACCCAAAACGGCACCAAAAAAATGAAGAAAACTCTCTTTCAACTCGAGAACACGCGCGATTTTTGTGGCTTTCGTTTCGTCAAAGCGCACCTTGCAAACTGATATAAGGTAAATCAAATACGCTATTTTATTTCTTGTTCGTGAGAATGAAGTCTCTTGTGGGTTCGACTAGTCACAGACTTCATTTCTTAAGAATTCTGCTTCGCCTTAAATTCATCCACGTCCTCCATTGACCTAGTTCCCTAAAGGTCCTCAGTGAAAAGTAAAGTGTACCCATAGCAGTAAATGCTCCGAAACTATATCCTACAACTGTCCATACATCAACCAAGCGATTTACTCGATGTACATCAGGCCACACATCGACATCTGCCATGCCGCGGACTTTGCCAGCTACTCCTCCAAGCACATTCATGTATGACAACAAGACATTCCCACTTTTCTCGCTTTCTTGGTCAAGCACGCCTTGAAGAAAGCCATTATCTCTGTCCTCCATTTTAGATTTCTGTAAACGTGGTGTACTGGGCTCCAGAACTTATCCCTTGCGGCGGGGGGGGGGTCGAAGGATTTTGGGAGGATCACATGATCTTCAATGAGAACGGAGGAGAGTCGAATGCTTAGAGCAGTTTTAATTTCTACGTCCTAAAATGCAATCGTTGGCTTAAATCTCCAAAAAATGGCAGGTTGAAAAATACCTGGATCCCACAGTAAGCCGAGCAATATAAGTATATTTTTCTAGAGCTTCTCATTTTATTGATAATTTATTTACAATCTTTGTGAGAATTCTAAATATTTGCTTATTTGACAAACTATGGATAGTAAACATCCTGATATCGAAATAAAGATTCAGGTTTTTGTTAAAAATAAATCTCTAGACTATTTCTCTAACTTTTATTTGTAACTGACATTTAGCATTTGCGTGAAGAACAACATGGATCACATCACGTTTTCGATCTTCATTCAAAATATCAAGTGTTTAGTTTGAACATTCACATTAATCCCTAATTAACAATCAAACAACGTGAGCAAATACAAGAATCTATTATGATGCTTGGTTTTCTTTTTTTGCTACATTTATTTTTACATATTACTCTTCCTCTTTTTCATATTTTGATTTTTTAAAATGATATTGTTTTCTCAAATTACTTTATTCCTTTGCGATTCGCTTTAAGCACGACAATGTAATCGCTATTGTAGTCAAACAACTACTCAGTAAACTTTTTTTTTTCCATAGTAATGAATTACATCAAACGCAAATACGTATTTAGTATAATTTCAGAGCTGAGCAAAGAGTTTCCAGCAATCTGATTGGTCGAGCGGTTCCTTATATGACGCTACATAAACCGCTCCATGCGGTTTATATAAAATGTTAAAATAAAAGTTAATAAATGTTATTAAAATGTTATGATTTTAGAAATTTCTCTGTTGTTCAGCTCTGAAATTATACTAAAACAATTATTCGCCTCAGGTTCGGTGAATATTGTCGAATAACCCCCTCGACTTCGTCTCGGAGATTATTCGACGATATTCACCTCGCCTTCGGCAAATAATTGTTAAATATAAACTTTTTTTTCCATAATAATGAACTACATCAGACGCAAATACGTATATATAAATATCGGGAATTTCTGAAATATTTTCAAATGTAAAACGTTATGCTTGAAGTGTAACTTCGTTGTAAGAAAAACGATGAAACTAAAAAGGAGGTGAAAAAATCAATATCGCAAGATTTGATCTCAAAACTACCTTCCTTTTAAAAGGAGAGTGTAAATGCTTAGTTTAGTAAGACAGACAACACAAAAAGGCAATCGAATTATTTTCAATCAAGTTTCCAAACCAACAAGATTGTGAAATGAATATGAAAGCGATCTTTGCAGGAATGAACGCTACTTATAGAGTCTAATGAAAATTCAGGCCTGTGCACAATTTGAACTCATGACCTCTGCGATATCGGTGCAGTGCTCTACCAAATGAACTAACAAGCCAACTGGGAACTGGCTTGCAACAGGATTGCATTTAGTTTTGTTTCATGGCAGTCTTCGACTGATTTTAAAAATTTAGCCAATCAGATGCAAATGTAAACCAATCGCGCCTTGGTCATCCTCGTTTTCTCGCGCTTTAAGTGGTTCGGTTGTTTCTTATTTGAGTTCTGATTGCTTCCTGGTGATGTTTACCTTTGTGATGATTGATTAATTTGGTTTTGGTTTTACATCACTCCGTTGAAACCAAGAAGGAACAAGAAAAGCTAAGGGTAAAGATTAAAACAGACTGTCATGAAATGGCGAACTTCAAAGCTCAAGCAAAATTTTTTTCCGAGCCAAAACGGTGTCCAGAAAACAAAAGGAAAAGTCTTACGTTAAAATAATTTCGTGCGTGACTCAAAATCTGTACCTCTAGGAAAGTCACTTCTTCATACCATACCTTGGTAAATATTCACATACGATTCTTGGAGAGAATAAATGTAACTATCATTGAAAAACCCTCAACTTTCTTACGTTAAATACACGGTCCAAAAAATCTTCTTTTAAAGCGGTTCTCTATCCATGGACGTTCTTTAAATCGGGATAACAGAAAAAAAAAACAAATATTTACATTTACAAATTTACCCGTACTCTTGATTGACGTAAAGTGTTAACTAACAGCAAGATTTATGATGCGAGCCAGAAGATCCCTTCAAATTTACCTTTTTCTTTTTTCCCTTCCCATTTTTCATATTCTCTTCTCTGACTGGCGGGCAGACTTTGTTTAAAATGTCTTGTGTTAGAAGAGTAAAAGCGTGATCAACGTTATTGCTGGAAAGTGCGCTGGTCTCAACGTGTCGAATATGGTGATTTTTGGCTAACATCTCTCCTCTTTCTCTTGTTACTTGTCTTTGACTCTCGAGATCGCATTTGTTTGCCACAAGAATTCTCTCCACGTCTTCGTTCGCGTTTTCTTCGATTTTTCTCATCCATTTTGAAATGTTGTGAAATGTTTTTTCGTTCGTGACGTCATACACCATCATGATACCCAGGGCACCGCGGTAGTAAGCGGTTGTGATGGTATGGAACCTACATAGGAAAATGTGATAAAACAAACCTAGACTTAAATAGACTTACACTATACAAAAAAATCGAAATTAGAAAACACTGCTTAGGATAGAACTACCAATTAGTATTGAAAACGGTGGCAGCATCATTTTCCCGTATTTCTCAGTCAGGGAAGAACCAAAAGAGGATTTCCCCCCTTCTGGCGGAAAAATAAATAAATAATAATAATAATAATAATAATAATAATAATAATTTGTATAGTGTAAATTCCATACAATGTTCAAATGCACTTTGCAATAAAATAACACTAATAATTAATACAACTATCAAAGTAAAATAAAATAAAATAAAATAAATACTAGAACTATATACAAATACTAATGTTATACTAATACTGCTATAGTATCGTGTTCAGGCTAAGATAAAAATGTTAAATGAAAAAGGTGTTTATTTAACTTTGACTTAAAAATATCCAATGACTTAGAGTTTCTAACTTCGAAGGGTAATGCATTCCAGAGTTTAGGTGCTGCAAAAGTAAACGACCTGTCACCAAGTGTCACTCTAGATTTGAATCTGGGTTGCTTAAGCAAGAGGGTGTCAAGAGCTTCTCAGGTTATAGCATGACTGAGACTTTAGAGAAATCAATGAATCCAAGTAAGTGGGAGCTGTGCCATGCAAGATCTTGAAAGTTAACAGAAGAATCTTGAATAAAATACTAGACCGAATCGGCAACCAATGCAACTTGATTAGAAGAGGTGTTATGTGACAATAACTACACTCAGCAAATATCAGTCTAGCACAGGCATTCTGCACACGTTGCTCACGTTGGAAAGGAAGCTCTGGAAGGTGGGGAAACGAACAAATACTTTTTCCCCAATTTGATCACTGAATTTTTCATTTTGAATAGAAGTAGTATATACCTTATCTGGGTTACGAAAACAGTTAACTTGAGCGAGCCTGCAGATGGACCAAAGCTTTCCTAGAACTCAGGCTTCCTCGATCAATTCTTTTAGTCTATCTTCAACCCGACTAATAAATCTACTTTCAAGAGAGGGAAGGCGTAGTGAAACGAACAATTTTATAGGGATTGCCCAAGGAAAAAAGCTTTCTCACCTCTCTTGTCCAGCAGTATCCCAAATTTGTAACTTTATTTTCTTTCCTCCTGAAACAATAATCAAATCAAAAGCCTTTATCAGAGCGGATGTAAGTGCTACCCCAGTTAACAGCTGCAGCGCATCAGCAGATAAGTTAGACAGGAAACTTAATCAAAAGAAGCGTATTTCTGATTGATTTTAGTGCAATAAACCAGAGGTATAGTCCTTTGAATCGCGTGTCCGTTAAATATATTAAAATTTATTTGATGAGCCAAGTTAGCGATTCTCGACAATTAATTGCCTCGTACGCAGAAACTCCTTCAGATTCCTCCTTTATAAAGATGTCACGCAACGTCTTGTGTTCAGTGACACGACAAAGGCCGTTTTAGAAGGAGACGAAAGGTTTCTTAAAGGGGAACTGAACCCCATACAATGAAAGGATAATAACCGCGGATGAGCTTCAATTAACTATAATCTGTCTTTTATGTAAGATCTGTCAATTGCTTTGACACAGTTCTCTCAAAAACGCTCGAAAAATGCTTGAAGTCAATATAGTTAATTTTCACTCGATAACAGATCCCTGTCTAACAGACGATTTATTAAAATCGTAAGAGAAAGTACACTTTGATCAAGACTGGAATTATAGCGTTAACAACAGCGAATTTCTAAGACTTTCATGTAACTGTGAACCACAGGAACGCGTCATAGAAGTATTTTCGACTACATGGCGTGATACTTCCTCTAGTCCAATATTTTGGAGAATATTTCCTTTTAAGGAGAACGTCAACATAATTCGCTGCCTAGATTGCAATATGTGATGCCATATTGCCCTCATTAGCTAAGAAATTATCGCTTACGTCATATCCACTTCCACACAACAATTTAAGATATTAGGCAGAAGTATTTCCTTTTGAAATTCGTACACTTCTTTCTTGTTTTTGTTTTTTTTTTTTAACAACGCGCAAGCTGAAGTAGACCTTTCGTTTCTTAATGGAAAGCCATAAAACAATGAAAAAATGAAATTCATCGTTTGACACCAGGAGCGAAAGATGTTAAATTTCAATATCAATATAGCCTCCTGGAGATTCTTCGCTTGCTTCATACAACCAAACGCTAATGTTTTCCTTCAAAAGAATCACCTGTGAAGCAAAGATTGTTCTAGTAGTAAAGCTTTGTATGATGAGTAAGCTCCTTGTTTTAAAAGCTCATTGAAGGCGAACCCTTAGGGCAAAATAGAATAAATCTCTCTAGTTCGAAACAATTGCAAATGTCAATTTCAGGCCGCTATATTTATGTTCAAGGAAATGATCCGTGAAAGTACCAGATATTCCTCCGTCAGTTAAAAATTGAAAAAATAGCAAGAGCGAATTTTACGTCGCAATTTTTATGCCGCTAGGATATCAAAACGAAATCACTGATCTCGTGATATTTCAAGCTGAGCAAAATTCTTTGGTTTAATTGAAATGTCATCCAACTGAACCGTAAATATGTAAATGCCAGCACATTCGGTACGAGAAAGTCTTAAATTGCTACGGGCCGTGGTTTTCCCGGCAAACACGCAACGAAATATGGTACCACACATTAAATATAGATCATAGATACCAGCAGACTTGTCTAGTTTTATATTAACACAGACAAATTCTCCTTTTTCAATCAAGCGAAAAACAATTCGAGATTCTAATTTCCTGTTGATTCAAGTAAACGTCTGCTGCATCGTACGTGCTACACTTACCGATTTCCAGCGTTCTGATCTTAAAATCGATCCCAATAGTTGATATGAAAGTTGGATTGAAAGTGTTCTCGGCGAATCGAAATATTATACACGTCTTCCCTACTCCGCTGTCACCGATCAAAAGAAGCTTGAAAAAGTGGTCAAAATTCTGCTTCGCCATTTCTAGAAGCTTGATTCTGTAAACTAAAGCGCTATGTATTACGTGACTGGAAGAATGTTGAAAGGGGAGCGGGGAGTGGATTCTATTGTCAACCGGAACCGGAAATAACTTAACGTGAAGCCGAGTGAAAACAAACATGAGGTATTTATTACTATAAAGGGCCTTCACGCCCGAGGCTTATGCCAAGCCCACAAGGAACGAAAGGAAAAGGAACTGAACTTCAAAGGAAAAGAGGAAAAATTAGTCTTGGTGAGAACTAAATTGCGACAATGTCAAAATTGTGGTACGTTACCGTTTGGCCGTGGCAAGTTGGGTACGAGACTGGACAAGTAGAGGAACGGAAACATTTCAAGTTCGAGTATCGGGATATTCGAGGATTTTGAAGACTTTTGAGGTTCACTTTTGCTAGGGCATTTGGACACAGTTTTCGCCCCCGGGGGCGGGAATTTGAACAAACCAATATTTCAAAGTTCGAATGGCCGGGGGGGGGGGGGAGGAGGTTGCCTGAAGGGTGGATGTTGAAGCTTTGAATTGATAGACGCATAAATGTGAAAATTAAGTAATTAATTTAGAAAATCTTAGAAGAGAATTAAATATGAGAAAAAAGAGGAGAGGTGCGACTTAATATTTACTTGGAAATCCACTTTTCCCTGACATCTTTCCCACATGTAAATTATTCCAGACTCAAAATGAAATACCCTGCCTTTATCCTGCTCTTCGAGAATTTTATTTTTCCCTACTCTCACCAGTGGCAACAATGTTAAATATTCATCAACAAACTGGAAGTCACACGCGCCAACTAAAGCTACCATCCACGTGCGCAAGCTGAACTGACTGACTACCCATTTAATTAATTGTGATTTACCAATTCATACTCTTAAATAACAAATTGGTCTCCGGCTATGCAGTCACCCGAATTTTGTTACAAAATCTCTGGTACGATTACAGACTTAAGTTCTATTGCTCTTACTTTCAGCCTAGACGAATTCCACGTGCATCAGCTAAACAAAAAAGATTGAATAAACCCTAATAATATATCACAGTCTCAGTGGGTAATATATATTTTCATAGCATTCCATACGTATACCTCTCTTTCTTCTAAACCTAAAATTATTCACGATAGAAACTTTACATTCCCTCCTATAAAGGAAACACTTCTGTTAGCTTCATTTGAGGGAAATCTAAAATTATATGGTTCATTTCTATGAAAAAGGGCTAATGACGTCAACACGGCGGACAGGATGATTTTGTTGCTGGCCTCAAGTCGTTCCCAGTTTCTCTATTTTCTCCAGACTGCATCAGTCTTTTGAGAATGTCATTCGCTAGTGTTGTAAACGCTTCCTCTACATTCAAATTTGACAGAGCGCTTATTTCCACAAAAGGGATACCAAGTCTGCCGGCCAGTTCCTCGCCCCTCTCTCGAGTCACTTCCCGCTTTTCCTCTAGGTCACACTTGTTAGCAAGAAGGATTTTGTTGATGTTATTGTCGCAGTTTTCTGCAACTTTGCTGATCCAGCTTGCCACGCCCTTGAAGGACTTTTCACTCGTGATATCATACACCAGCATGATCCCCATAGCTCTGCGATAACACGTGGCAGTAATTGTGTAAAATCTACAAAAAAAAATAGTGAAAATAACATTAAAGAGTTGACTCATAATACAAAAAAGGTCTACCTCTCGTTGACGGTGAAGCCCTCATCTGAACTTGCAATCGAGAAATCTAAGTTGGAGCTAAAAAATTGTGTCGTGCTCTTTAGTACGGCACTTGATCCTAACAAAGCCTCTCTTCACCATCTGTCCACCCAGGAATGCAGACATAGTGGAGAATAGGCTACATGTCTGAAAACGGGACAAAGTATGGGCTACCTACAACGGAGTAGCATCGCATGTAAGAGCAGCTGTAGCCTCCACCCAAGCCCTCATGCGATGTTTCTCCGCCCGCTGGAAGATTTAAGACGAGCCGGGGAGAGGTTTGTCGGGAGTCTGGCACTAATACTGAGTGCTTGACCACTTGCAGACCTCTCCTTGGCTAGCAATTTTCATTAGAAACCCTTCATTCGATTGACATTACAAGTGATTTCGTTTGTCTATTACATAACCAAATAACATTTATGCGGCACTTAATTTTCGCCCATATATGGCCTAGTTCTGCGTGCCTGGGATGCAACGTTTTTAGTGTACTTTTACTCGAATAGGCAAGGAGCTGTGAGTGGGTGTTAACCGAAGTGTTGTAACAGAACCGTAAAATCATCAAGTGAATAAACCGTGACTCAAGAACTATGGTTAGGCCTAGCCACAAGTTGCCGATGAATCCCCAAAAAGTTGCCGATAAGTGTCTAAAAGTTGCCAAAAAGTTGCTAAAAATTTGCACATTGCTTCTTATCAAAACTTTATGAGTCAAAGTCCAATGATAATATCAGAGGTTCTTTCCATTTCACTTGATCAACTAATAGTCACTCTGATTGTCCGCCATCTTGAAAAACGTGCAACGTGATACCGCTGACCTCTTGATAAGACATCACAAAAATCAACCCATGGGGGGGCCCCTAATTATTGTATTTTAGAATAAATTGAATAAATGTCTATCGAAAACTGACCAATGTGGCTCAAAACGTGGCTTCAAAGAACCTCAAAAAGCCCAAAGTTACCGAAAATTCTAAAAGTTGCCAAAATTCTAAAAAGTTGCCGAGCAACTTCTGGCTAAGTCTAAGCATGGTACAGCTTTGTCACGTTTACGACACGGTTTCCTGAGGGGGGAGAAATGCTCGTGCTAAATTGGTTACAGTCCTGTTCGCAAACTAGTACAGGTATAGTGAACTCTTTATCACCACATGCAGGAAAAATAATGATAGCTTTGGAGAAATGAACTGTTAAAGAAATAAGACTAGCCGCAGCAACGGGCGCAAGAATATCACAAGACGCTTTAGGCACAAGCTGAGAGTCACGCGAGCTAAAATCACCAACGAAAAAAGGGATGGGTTTGATGAACGAGAGAGCATCTGACCAGCAAAGCTTGAGACGTTAAAATGCAGTGGAGACGCGCGTAGGTGCCTGCAAACCACACATCGCGCACAAGAAGAATACTTTAGTATTTCTCGCGCGCGCTGTATAACTCGCATTGCATATATTTAAAGCTGATGGTTTTACTATCTAAGAAAATTGTTAGAGAGTATGCTGTCTCCTAAGACGGAAAGAAAACGTAGGCTAGGAGATGCCTAGAAATTTACATCCCTCTTTCTCGTTCCTGCCCTTCGTTCGTTAGAGACAGCCTGCTAATAAATTCAGGGCACACAGACAACAGAGGATTAAGACATCCATACGATTACTTTTGATTAATCTTCCCTTTTTTAATTACACTTAATTATGCCAGGACGATGGCTAACGAATTTTAACCTTGAAGCATTTTGTCAGTGTGCCAGGGTGGGGTTGGGAGGGGCAAAGAAGTGGGGTCATAACTGATACCTCTCTTGGCCAGCGGTGTCCCATATCTGAAGCTTGACCTTTTTGCCATCTATAAATGAAAATTAAAGTTTAACAAAAGGCTAGTGCAACAAAAGAGAGGGTTAAAAAAATAATTCGAAACTTGTCAAAAAGTTCTTCGTGGCAGCCGTTATACGTCCTTCTCCATAGTAGGCGTTGCGTGACGAGACTTAATTAGAACACCTGATCAAATCCACTTCCGGCTGCAACCCTCGTGAGCAAGAACGGTATTTCACGTTTATTTTCATTGAAAGCCGTGAAATTTTTCTGTCCTTTGACTTAGGAAAAATAACTAGTTATTGAGGAAGATAATTGCATTGACACATAATCGAAACAGGAAAAAGCCTTCTAAGAGAGAAGTTAGTTTCACTTTAGAATGCACCGATAGCATTGCAAAATTATTTACGCATCGATAATGAAAGAAAATGAAGAGAAGAAAAAAATGAAATACAATTTTGTATCAGAAGCACTCCTTTTTGAATCACACAGGCTCATGAATAAACATGGTCGACATCGTGAAACAAAACAGGTGTGACATGTCTAGAAGTTGTGTAACACTCAAGTGGCTTGTTTCTCATAAATCACCGGCGACGCATTTATAACTCATTTCTAACAATTATTGCATCCAAAATAGCTTTCCATTAAACGAATTCCCCTTCTGAACTTCCTAAATATTTTATAATAAGCATCACACTCAATGATAATCACTAACAAACCGTAACAAATCGATTCGAACGATCTTTCTCGTGATGTCGCCATTGACATTGTACGGCTGCCTAGGAACTTACCGATATCAATCGTCCTTATTTTGAAATCTATACCAATGGTCGTGATATATGATTCAGTAAAGGTGCTTTCCGTAAAACGTACAATAATGCAGGTCTTTCCAACGGAGCTGTCACCGACCAGCAAAATCCTAAAGAGGTAATCGTAGTTCTTCGCCATTTTCTGGGAACTAGCATGTGATGTGACAACTGGCGCCGATTGTGTTACATACATAGTTGCTGTGAAATCACGTGCGTGAAAAAAAAATAATGTTCTGCAAACATGTGATTACCAAAAATACTTCAAATTCTTTAAAACTGCTATTCTAATTTTCGTACATTGTTTCCTCAAAAGTTAAAAAAAGTAATCTCTTCGGGTTTTGAAGTTTCTTTATATTTCTCCTTTTAAGAATTAAGAAACCAGTCATTATTTATCAACTGGGTGAAGGAGGGTCGAGGGGGGGGGAGGGTGACCGGGTGAGGTGGTGGGATCACGTGGTTTTCAATGGGATAGAATGGGGGCTTAATTGTCGTCAACAGAGTATAAAGCGGGGACTATAGAAAGTTGTCTGCCAATAGAAGGGGGGAGTCAAAAGGATATTCAAAGGAACATAGAACTGTAACTGTTTTATTTTCCTCTTGGAATATTACAGAGCCTTATGGAGAACTAGGTACATTTTATCTTTACACAACCAAAATTCTATGGCGACAAATAATGACCGATCCTTAACATAGAAAATGGTATCTGAAACAAAAAAAAAAAAAGAAAAAAAAAGAAAAACTCGAACAAAACTACGGGGGTGTGAAAGCCGCTGAGAGGTGAGAAGTACTCACCCCTTCGCCCTTCCTTGGTTTCTAACGCTCGGCTCTCAAGCGACTCGATTGGGGGAAACTACACAGAGGACCCGGCCGGACCAACACTCAAGGTCTTAAAATTACTGAGGAGAATGTGTTACCTATCTATGATATCAGGAAATGGATAGACATTCTAGTCTTCTCGGATAAGACGAATAACCTGCAGGGTTAGGAGTAGGAGACGTTAATTTCCCACGCACAAGATTACTGTGTGGTGGATGTCCTCCCCTGGGGTGGGATGGGTGGGTGTTTGTTCAGAGAAACTAGCACTACCATGGTACTCTGAAATTCGAACGGAAAAAAGTTATGTATGTATGCAGGTATGTACGTACGAGGAACAGGCACACCAATGCCTTAATAATATCAGGGAAAAATGCAAATTGTAATTATTGGAAGATAGAAACATTGTAACAGGGATAATAATAAACAAAGAAAGAGCGGGAACGGTTAAAGATGGAAAGGATTAACAACGACTGGAAATGAGGAACATAGGAAATTAAGGATCAATTCTTCCGGCTACGCATACAGTGAAAGGGCCTCTTTAGTACAAAGTGTATAATCTTACTCTGTCTCTAACCAACATCTGTGCTCGGTTTTTGTGGACAATTTTGATATATCCCGGAGGTTGCATCCAGGCTTCGCCGTCCACTTGAACTGGCACTGATTCACCAAATATGGAGATTTTTACAGTCCGACACTGGAAGCAAAGCGAGCATTAAGAGTGAGAAGGTTTGGTAACAAAGCAAGTCCAGGCGATCAAAGGGAGATTTAGCAAGCTCCATG